CACAGGTCTGTTTACCTTGCCAGCGCGAACGGCGGCTCTGCCCTGCCCCTCCTACCACGCCCATGTACCACTGGGTCGCGGGTCTGCCCACCTTGCGGGTGCGGGTGGCGGCTCCGCTCCGCCCCCTCTCCAATTGGGGTCACGCGGTCACCACGCTGGCGAGCCGCTGGGCCTGCTCTGGGTGCTGGCGGCGGCCCGGCTCCTCCCCTCTGGCTCGACGACAAATTGAGGAGACTCGGGTGACTGTGCCTCACCCCCCCTACCAGGAGACCAACTGCTTATGTCACCGCTGGTATTGATGAAGTTCTCTCCTCCGCCGCTTTCTGCTGACATCAGATCTCTGCCATGTTGGTATCCTATGCGAATGGCAGCATTTCGTTCCCCTTGCCAGGCAACCAAAGCAACGGATGAGTCCTGACCGGCCCTCAGCAGGACCCGGACCGAGAAGCAGTTTCCGCGGGCTCCTAGCCCCGGGCCAGGGAAGTTCCGGGAGCCGGAACTCTGCCGCTCCATGCTCTGTGTAAGCTCCTATAAGTGTAAGCTCCAAGAAGCAGTCCCCGCGGGCTCAGTTCCGGGAGCTGGAATTCGGCTGCTTAGTGCTTGGTGTATGCTCTGATAGGCGCAGGGTCCAAGAAGCAGCCTCCGCAGGCTCCGCAGCCCAGGGCCAGGGTGGTTCCGGGACGGTTCCGGGAGCCGGAACTCGGCCGCTCCGTGCTCTGTGTAAGCTCCTATAAGTGTAAGCTCCAAGAAGCAGTCCCCGCGGGCTCAGTTCTGGGAGCCGGAATTCGGCTGCTTAGTGCTTGGTGTATGCTCTGATAGGCGCAGGGTCCAAGAAGCAGCCTCCGCAGGCTCCACAGCCCTGGGCCAGGGCGGTTCCGGGACGGTTCCGGGAGCCAGAACTCGGCTGCTCCGTGCTCTGTGTAAGCTCCTATAAGTGTAAGCTCCAAGAAGCAGTCCCGCGGGCTCAGTTCCGGGAGCCGGAATTCGGCTACTTAGTGCTTGGTGTATGCTCTGATAGGCGCAGGGTCCAAGAAGCAGCCTCCATCTATCCACCTTTTAATTTAGTTTATTGACTCTTCATTGTGAGAGTTTGTTTAATTTTTCTTTAGAATTTCTATTTACTTATTGAAGCAATATTTTACTTCTTCTGTCTTGACTGTGACTTTACTTCTTACATCATTTTTTATCTCATAGATCATTTTAATTGTAAACTTCTTAAACTCCTTCTCTGACATTCTCTCCATTGTGGTGTTGGTGGAGTCTGCTATTCAGTCATTCTGGTTTGTTTAGATTTATTTTTTCCCCTTACTTTTTCATATTGTTTCTGGGTCTACTCATATTTCTGCATGAATCTGAACTTGAAGTATACAGATCACTTTCCATCCCATTTTAGAGGAGGAAGCCACCCCAATATAGCACTAATATCAGCAACAGATGTATACCCTTAATATAAACATCTGGTGTCTACTTTCACAGCTATATAGGAATTGCTACCTATGTAGAAAACATGAGGACAGCATTTGACATCAGTTTTGACAATATAAAACTGTGAACTGCATCAGACATTAAACGCCACTTATCTACTAACTATTTCACTTTATTAATAATCACAACATGGATGGTGTAGGGATTATATAAACCAAGTGATTCTATTAGATGGTGGGATTTCAGTTTCTTAAGTGAAGAGAATATAGATAGAAAGACAAAAGAAATTTTGAAATACTTTAAAAAGTGAATAGAGTAGAGATAGGTGTTGGGTGGCAAATTTTGGCTAGAGAAAATGAAGAATAAAAAATAGCAATAAAAAAAAGAAGGAAAGAGAGAAGAGAAAAAAATGCTTATTTGTGGTAAAGAGAGGTGATAAGAGGGACAAAAGCCAAACAATGAACAAACAAGCAAGTGCAAGATCAAAACCACTAAAACCCTTGTATAATCTTATCTCACACAAGTCAAACCAAGGCTAACCAGGTGCAGAAAAAGCATTTTAAATTAAAGTAAAATTATATGAATATGTATATATTTTTTAAAAACTTCATTAGTATGGTGAAAACTCAATCTCCCTTCAACACACACACAACATACTACACCCACAAAATTTCACAGATTGGAAAAATATATAGTGAAATAATAGTAAAATATAATGATAATTTTTAAAGAATTAAAAGAAATTTTAAAAAGTAAAATATGGATAAAAACACGTTGAAATGAGAAAATAAAGAAAAAAAGACTAAAATCTTAATTAGAGCAACAGGTTTTGTTTCTGTAGAGGTTGTCAAGACTATTGGTATGTGTGAATTTTCATTCTTATTGGCTCTTAACTTTGGGACAAGGGCCAGGGGTTGTTTAAACTAATGTTTCTGTGTTCCCTTCCTAGTGTGACTAAGGGTCAAGGATGGTTTCAGTAGCTTTAGGCTTCCTATCTTCCAGTATATAGTGGGATATAGTGAGGAGTGCTGACAAATAGTATATTCCTCTATTGAGCGGGTGGTGCAGAGTTCTAAATTGGAAATTCCAGTAGTTGGGACTTACTCTTGACTGAACTTTGGAACTCTGTCAATGGATATTTGAGATTTGATGCACACCTCCTGCTGCTAAGGAGTTGCTGGTCTCTTTTAGATGTCTGTTTCATAGGGTCTTCTGCTAAAATCCACTTTTAGGTTATATGGATTAAACCTTCGTGAGTTTCATATTTTCCACTATCTAGGAGCAATTTTCCAGATCTTTAGATCTGATGCTGAAGAACTACTGGAAAGTCCATCCTTTTTCTGCCATCTTCTCTCTTAGAAGAGAAATTTTAAAAGAAAATTTTTGTTTATTCTAGATTTTATGATTTCTACACAGTTGTATGTTATTCAATATATGTTATTATGTAAATTATATTTAATGTAAAGAACAACCTTGTCATGTATATAGTTGGGGAGTGCCACAGATTGATTTTTTATTATCATTCTTTTCTTGTATTCCAAAGATAAAAAAAATGAGAATTACTTATGAACCCCTTTGTTGTGTGTGTGTGTATTTTTTAGCCTATTTTTTACTGTAATTTTTAATTTTTTCTATATCTTTTAAAATTTATCTATAGATGTCAATAGGCACTTTTAAGATGAAATGATACACATTTTTTCTTAATTTTCTCAAAAACATGTTCACTGTTTATTTATTTCAAAGGGATATGTGGAATATTATAGATACATACTTACTTATAATATTAAATAAACTTCACTTTTTTATATATATACATCTTATACTAGCTAAGAATAAAATTGCCTTTATCTTAAGAACAGATCATTTTGATATTATAAAATGTCTAGCTTTTTTGGAAACCTGGTATTTATTAGGAAAATACACTTAATACTAAGTTATAAATACTAAAGTCAGGAAACATTTTCTAGACCACTTAATCATTAACAAATTTGAAAGAGATGTCATGAAATAAGAAAAAATGCTTATGTGTTTTGAAATTATCATATATATAAGAATGAGAATTATAATTTAAAATAAGCCAAAGAATATTTTGTTACTGTATTTTTCTTCAATGATGTTAAAACTGAAAGTATCATACTATAAAATCACTTAATTTACCTTTAAATATTGTGGAACTCTTATGTAATCCATCAACCTTCTCATAAAATGCAAATATATTTAGCTTAGTGAATAATCTAATATTGTTTATAAATTAACTACTGAATCAGATATATGCACCTGCTTCAAGTAATGTATATATTCATATATATGTACTTGTGTATATATATGCTATGTACACACATATAGAAATGTTATATATATATATATTATATACTTATACATATACACTTATTTTCTATTATTAATTTATTAGAGCTCACAACAAAATATTACACAATGGAGAATTAAAAAATAGAAACTTATTTTCTCATAGCTTACAACACAATAATTACAAGATAAAAGTATCAGCAGGGTTGATTTCTCCTAATGCTTCTTTTTTAGTTTGCAGTTGACCATTTCTCCCTGTTTTGAACATGGTTTTTTGACTATGTCTACACGCCTGCAATTTTCTTCTTATAAGCATACCAATTATGTTGGATTAGAACTCACATATCCTAGTGACTTCATTTAAATTAATTAAATCTTTAAAGACCCTATCTATGTATAAATTAATAATTTAATGTAATGAGGTTTTGAGGAGTTAAAATTCAACAACGAATGATCACTATAAGAATATAAATGCAATGTAAGTAAAAGGGTTGTATATGTGATTCATTGTTGTATTCCTGGAATTTCAAATAGTATCTAAAACATGAAAGACAATTAAATATTTGCTAACATAGATTTAGACTGACCTATCTTTGACCTTGATAGCTATGATAGAAAATATGGGAGCTTGCCACAGTCCGGCTACAGCAAAATAACTGGGAGGTGACGAGGAACTTGTGTAGATTGATACAGCAGGAGTAGGAGCCATTTATTGTAGTACAGGAGGGGTATATATACATTCCACACAGCTTATCTTAATTAACATAAACTAGATACAGCAGTCAACCAATAAGGAATCTCCACACTTAATGGCTCGCTGGCGTTACTTCACAAACCACTCCCTCTGCAAAATGCCAGGTGCCATCTTGACTTGTTTACAGACTCTAACAGGAGCTATACTTATTGCTATTGCAAGCCATCAGATTATTACAAACATTTGACTTATTATCATACTATTATGATAAAGAAGATGAATTTGAATATGGACTTTATAATCATGTAGTTGACTTTTTTCCTGTGAAACTGAAACTCCAATACCTGGCTTACCAATATTTCTTATTTCATGTAATTTGAATACACTGAAAATTAGAAGATTAAGGTATTAGTGATGATATTGGTAATATTCTAATTTTATAACTGAATTTAAGAAATAGATTTTACTCAAGGTTAAATAGATAATTATCAGCAGAGGTAACATTTGAATACCCATTACTGATTTCTCCAAAAGCCTTGTAGAACTGTTGAGATGAACACACTTGAGATATTGAAAGTACAAGTCAGGATGTGGTGAATTGTGGCCATGGGAACTCCAACTACATGCATCAGCAACCTGGAAAGGCATTGACAGCTCAGGCCAACACTTTACCTGCAGTTTCTATTTGGCTTTCCTTTAAAGTTAAAAATAAGTATATAAGTTGATTCTCTCTAAAATCCCCTAATTAATATTTTGTCAGGTGGGTAGGAACAAGAGGAGGGCAATAGAAATAGGTGTTTCTAAGGATAAATATCCAATAAAATTATTAGAAAACAACAAATTAACAGGATAAGGAGTTGAAAAGTGAGTTTTCAAGCAATGTGTGAAATTTGAATTGTAAAGATAATTTCACAAAGTGACTTGTTACAAAAAAATAGAAAAAAAGTCACTATAGCTTATAATTTTGAGAACCTAAGGGAAAATCTAAATTAATAAATAAAGTGCTACAATTGAATTATCATTTTAAAGATATGCACACACTTACATGACAAATATTTGAGAAGAAAAAAATGCTAACAGAAGAAAAAAAAGACAAAAATGTGAAATCATGTGTTATCAATCATCTTTTTGAAAGAATGATTAAGAAGGTATCCCTTAGTAGAGAGAAACTGAGGGAAAAATGGTAAGAATCAAGACCTGGGGAGGGGCACTAGTAGAAAGACGCAGTAGAAAGACATAGAAAAAAGGTTTTTAATTAAGAGCACATGAATTTATGAATAAACCTATAAAACTATGTAACATAGAAGAGAGAGTTCTAAAAGGAATTAGTAAAGGCTAGGATTATTTAGGGCTTGGTGAACTACAGCATTTATATTTTATTCTACATGAGATGAGAAAATGACAGTTTAGACCCTGAAAAATATTAGTCTCAATATCTATATATATTTCCTGACCAAGCATATATATGTGGTACATTAATATGCTCAGTAACAGAGAATCATGGTTTCTCTAAGTACATTTTTTAAAGCTATGAATATTTAGGATACAGATAGTAAAGTAAGTCAAACCTATATTTTAATATCTTGAGATGGACAATAATCTATACGTTTTGGTTTACTCTAAACTTAAAAAGGCTGGCATAATAGAATAATGAATAATCCTATGAAACAAATTTAAAATATATTATTGAGTAATTTACTTAAAGTTTTAAGTTGTGTCCTTACAATGATAATGCACACTATCAGATTATGTGAGAGAACTTGAGACTCATGGTATTTATTATATTCATGTAATTTTATTAGATTTGCAAAAAAAAAAAAAGTTCCAATAAGTGGAACAAGCTTGTTAGATTAAATGCCTGTGTTCTTAAAAGGAAAGTCAAGAATATTCAGTTATAAGTGTATATCAATGGTCAAAGAAAATTTAAACTGTAAAAGCCCTCACTGAAATGTGATTTTTTTCTTAATTTATACAGACAAAATCAGATTTGTAAACAAAAAAAGACAAGGTAGAACTATAATTTGAAATTTAGCCATAATTCACAATTAAATTTTAATATAATTGTTAAGGCTATCATTAAGTGAATGATTTTCTTCTGTGCACACAAAGGAAAATACAAAAATGTCAACAATTGACAATGAATATTGTTAATGCTGACATAAAACTCTAAAATCTATTAAATAAAGGCTAGCTTTTCATTTGCTTATTACCCACTTTAGTAAGAATTTGGGAGTTTTGCAAGTTCACATGAACTTTTAAATGTATGAAATAAAATTTTTGGCAAAAATATTAATTTATTTTATATCAGAATATAGTGAGTTTTTCATTTATTATTTTCATGCAAACTGAGCACCCCATGCTTTTTTTTCCTCCTGTTAAGCCTTACATATTCTTACATCACTTCTATATAATTATGGAATTTTTATGCATATTTCAGGGTCAAATACTCTCTACCAGAACTGGATTCTTAGTGGCTTTTATGACATGAGTTTTTATATTTCTGAATATTCATGGAACAGATAATAATAATGCTGTTACACCTTTACATATACCCTGGTACCTTATGAAAAAATATCTTAAAATAAGCTATCTCAGTAAGAAACAGCTATACCTCTCTACCTATTTGCAAATTTTCAGTCACAAAATTAAAAGAGAAAATTCTATGGCTATAGTTTGCTTGAACAACATATTTATCAATATTCTTTATTATTAACCAGCAAAGTGTTTTCCTTAATTTACCATGGTGACATGCAATGATGCAAAAGAGTATGTCAGAGTTATACTGATAAGTATTTTTAACTAAGAATAAAAAAAACTAAGTTAAATTATTACAAAATATTAAATATGGATCAAGAACAGTATATGTAAACACACAAACAAATGGAAAGTGTGCACAAATAGCAGTTGGGTAGCTTCAAATACTCATCATTTCAGAGAAGCAGAGACAAACAGAATTAGGTCAAAGTTATTGTTGTCAGTTTCAGGAAAAAACGACGAAAAGCTGAAACAAGGAAAATGCATCTTAAAAGTAAGAAAGCCTTTTTCAACTTTTTAAAATTTTTACCTTGCTCTTTCATCAGTGCAGTCACATAGCAGAGTGCTGGCTGCAATCCAGAATGCTGCCCAGATTCAGCTGGTGGTGATGATTCCATCCGGAGAAGGGCATACCACATTCACAAAGAATTGTGTTTTTCTTTTCTGACATAGGGAATACCAGAAGGAATGATGCATGATGTTCATCTCTATTTCATTTAGGTTTGAATTCTCTTCGGTGAAAATGCAGCACTGATTGTTCAAAAATGTTGGAAGTTGAGATAAAATCCACAAATGAAAGAGCTATCCTTCTCCTTGTTGTGCATTCAGGCAGGGGTGGTGGTGATCAGAACAGAAATAACTGTTTTAATTCACATGAAATATTGGCTCCATTTTCATGTAACTATTTCTCTTTTAGTGTTTAAATATTTCGATTAGTGTTTTACATTTAAATACATACTGTTTATATGGAAGTTATCCCCAAGTAATACTTTAGTGGTTTATTTATGTAACCATTTTATTTGTACTGAATTTCCACTAAATGTTGCTTCCCATGAATATCCAAAATAATTCATAGATACCATCAATAACTCTACATTTGAGATTTCTTAAACCTCTCAGATATGAAGAAGGTATGATCCATTCCTGAAAAACGTTCAGGAAAAAAATCTGTAATAAAGCCTAATTAATCATTACTAATATAAACACAAAGATTGGTTTTTAATTATTATTACTCTCAATGACTTTAAAGCAGTGAATAAAAAGGACTAAGCTCCTTCTTGAAATGTAAGAAACTTTGTCAAAGAGGTGAACATTCTATGAATTAAGCGATATTTCCTGCAGGAATATTTGTTTTATATTATACATTTAATAATTTACTATCTATCAGCATAAAGTTAACAAAGACATTGCTAATGACAGTTACCATGTAAATCTGAATGAAATATCATACATTCTTTAGTATTTGAAAAAATTGAATCTATGATACTGGCAGAGACATTGATAATCAATTTTATCCAAAATTGTTCTAATATGCTATTTTGTCCTACACAAAACAAAATGGACCTTCCTATTATGTCTGTATCAAATATGATAATATGAAGATTGTGAGCAATGACTGTCAAGCAATTTCCTCCTGTAAAAGTCTATAGAAAATGTTAAAAAATGTTTCTTCTTTCTTGAAAGCCAAATTCAAAATTGAATTTTACATAAAAAACTAAGCTATAACATACATGAAAGAATACACAAATCTCAGAGGCAATGAATTGATACAACATAATTAGTGGTATGATACAGTAATTTTATATTACTTGTTTTGAATCCACAAATAAAATTATCGGAATACGTCCTTGGTGTTTAAATTTCTAGAAAATTATTTCTTTTCTTAATGCCTGATTAAAAATGTAAAATAAATTTAGTCCAGAGTAAGGTGCTCCTCCTGAGGTTGGCAGTTCTTTAACACATTTTTATGAGAGGTTATCCTGCTTCCTTCAATAGCTCACTAAATCTCCACATGACACTTTGGCTTTCACCTTGTAAACAAGTGATTTTATACAGCACCAAATCTCCTTCAAGCCATATTCAAGGAGTCCCAAACATAATACCTTTCATTACAGATAGGGGCCCTGAAGGACACTGTCAGGACTGTGACCCTGCATTGCCCTGTGTGAAATTGTTGGATATTAGAGAGGAGGCTGGTTACTTCTTATTCTATCTTTCATCCAAAACAACCAATGAGTGGCTCACACTTTTATGTATGGACCTTGAATAAACAGTTTAGTTTTATTTTACTGTGTGAGTGATTTAGATAGGATTGGGCTAAAATAATTTTCTTTCATTCTTCTTGCTTACTCCCATGCTGATAGCAGAGGTAGGAGGGCTACTGGAACATGTATTCAAATAAGTTTTTGCAATCAAGCACAAGTCTTGCCGTGACAAGATACATTTTTATCTCATTTCAAACTGCCTAGGCTATCAACATGACAACTTTTTGTCTTGTCACAAAGAATGTTTTTATGCTACAATTAGGATGAGTAAGATTTATCTACCTAAAAATATGGAGATGCATAGTCTTTTGTTATACTTCCATCTCATACTTGTCCATTGTTTTTCATTTCTTCTTAAAGCCAATGAAATAAAATAAACCAAAGAATGGAATTTTAAATAATATTTTACTCTTGAGTATGTTCACTGGACTTTGTTATGAGGAATAGTGTTATATGTATTATACTTATTAAACAGACATGATTCAGACATACCTGAAACAGTGAAATTTTAAATAGAAAATTATCTAGATAAGAGAGAAAGCTGAATAGCCAAATACTTCTAGTCTGAGAGTTCTCCATCTGCTGGTAACTGAGCTGACATTTACTCTTCCATAAAGTTATTTCCACTTGTGGAAAATGAGTTGATTTGACTTCATTAGTATCAGCTGAAAATGCTATTCACAATTTTTCCAGGCAATTCTTTATTATGCAAAAAATGTTATTTTATTAAAGGAAATCCAGTGTTTCAGTTAAATTTGACACTGTTTCAAATAAAGGTAGATCAAAAGAATCTCAGAACAATGTTGTAGAATATTTTATATTTTATTTTTTAGTTGGACACAATAACTTTATTTTATTTACATATTTTTATGTAGTGCTAAGGAGCAAACTCAGTGCCTAGCA